TTAACTAGAAGCAGTCCACAATAAACAGCTTAAACTCCCACTCTAGACAGTTATTCTTTGGTAAAGTTTATTTAATACAAGGTTTTACTTCCCACAGTTTACACCATTTCTTTGACTTTTAAAATAAAACTTTAAAGAAAAGTCCATAAAGAAAATCCAATAACACATTTTATAATAAAATATGCGTGCTTTTATGTCATAAAAGCAACATAAAGCAGATTTATTGAACATTTTAAAAGTTTGAGCTCTCAATATGAAACTACAGCAAAAGCTCAGGCTTTTGGAGAATTAAAACCATTTCCACTGTTTCCACCAGCCATGCTATATATGCTTTGATAATGTCCACAATACTGAAGCACAAAAACTCCATGAAGGATGAGCAACTTGATATCATTCAGTTTATTTTAATGTCTCCTTGAAATTATTTGCATACTCCCATATATTTTTCTATTTGCTAATGCCATAAAAATAAATGCTTAAATAAAAATAAATTTGCCATTCATCAATTTTTAGTGCAGTTTGTTGCTTCTCCAACAAAATACTCAATGTGGAATTCATCTTTATGTGTTATGGTGCATGTTTACATTTATGTACTTGACAAGGCAAAAAAGCGTAGGCAATTCAGTTTAAAATCCTATTTTGTCACATTTCGTTGCCCTCTCCAGACTGGAAATAAATACCTACAGGGTTGGATCACTCCAAAAAGAGGCTTGTATACATTATATATTTTCACTATGCACCTGTTTTGGGCAGGGGCAGCTGAGTTGGGGGTGTGTGGTTTATTATTTTTGTGAGCTAAGTTCACAAAAAGGACACAATTTCAGAACACTTCTATTCCACACCTGTTGGAAGCTGTTTTGGGCTGACATGTAATCAGTCACTTTCCTTTATCCCCTCATTTTATTTCCCTTTTATTGCATTCTGTATTCTTTAGGTTTAAGCTGATCCTCTTTTCCTAAACTATTCTTCTCCCCCGACATGTACCTTTGTCTCTCACCTACATCACTGTGAGATGCATTAAAACCACCTCTTTGCTAGGAAACCATCAAGAAAAAGATAGCCTGCCCTTTACATAAAAGCCAGATTCTCAAGCAAATTATCAGGTCACAAAAGGCTGTAATGGATTCTCCATTCAAAAATGACATAAGAGAAAACTTATGCAGTACACAGTTTGAATTCAAGCAAATGCTGAAAACCTTTTCTGAGGTTCTTATGAGCCAATACCATTCAAGTCTACATGTTTTTTTCCTCATGCCTCCAAACCAGCACAGCTCAGTGCCATGGAGCTCTGCAGAATAGTTGCAATGAGAACCAGCCTAGCACTGTGTACCCACCACTCTTACCAACCTTTACAAGTTACTTTTAAAAGAGCAATTTTCACTCCTCACATTCAACTCTACTCAATGTTTACTCTAACACCCATGCCAGCTCTTCACATTTGCAAGTCTCTATAAAAAGTATATTTCTTATTCCTGAAAAGCATCTTCAATATGCTGATGGTGCAGGCACTGGGCTCCAAGCTCCACACAACACGTGGAATTTTCTGTGGAAAATTCCCTACAGAACAGTGTAATCTGACCTGCTACAATAACAATCAACTTTCAAGAAGTTTGAGCCTTAGGGATAAGTAGCTAAAGGCAGAACAAACTCCCAGAATCAAGAAGAGATATCAAACCTTCATCACATTTGATAGAAAAAGTTATTTTTGGCACAGCAAAGACTACTAGAAATTACTCTATTCATCAGCCTTTCTCCTCTGAGATGTCTGGATGAGCTGGAGGGAACAGTGCACCAGTCAAATCTGATACAGCCACTTGTGATGTGATAACCCTGTCCTCCCCCTCTGCGACATCTGGATATAAGACAAAGCATGAAGTCTCATTTCCTCACACTGCATCCAGTCATGGAAAGCCAGTCTGGATATTGTGTGCAGGCCTGTGGGAGCAGCCACATCCATTTTATGGAAATGAAAACAGGTGACACCTTCCTGTAGGGAGCCAGAGAGGATCAGACAGCTCCTCCTGCACATCCTGCCCTCCTCACGTGGCCTGGGGCTGCCACCGCTCACACACGGGGCTCACTGGGATTTTATGCAGTTGTAGGATACCAATGTCCACAGCACAGGGACGAATTTCCTTCAGCTCTGCTGCCTCTGCAAGGTTTGCCATCACTTGGGGACACCTCTGCCTACCTTAGTCCACTTATCCACTGGTTACTTGCACTTTTACTGCAAATTTTTCTTTCTGAATTGCAAGGACGTGTTCATATACCATAGGAGATGATAGTGTTGGTCACCTATTAATTAGTTTGCTTATTTTTTGAGGGGTTTTTTTCTAAATAATCAGAAAAGTACTTGAGCTCAAGTTTCTGATAAATTTTATCCCAATGTGACTTAAGGCACATAGAAAGCCCTTCAGCAGCAAATGAAGAGATGTCAGTCACAGAATTACAGAATCACAGAATATGCTGAGTTGGAAAGGACCCACAAGGATCATCAAGTCCAACTTCTAACCCTCCATGAGGTACTACACAAGTTACATGGATGGGTGTGGTTTGTAAAATATATGCTGCTTGTTTTTTCTTTAGCATGCTGAGGTGGTATGGAGGCCTTGTGTTGGTTCAACAGATAACTTTTACCCTCTGGATTATTGAAAATCCATCCCATAGAAGACAACAGTAAATTCTGAGATCCTGCATTGTCTTTTGCAACAGAACCAATGAGAAGCAGCAGTGGACAAATTCAAAAACAGGTCATTCAGCTTCTCCCCATCAGCTCACTGCACGGTATATTGTCAGTTTAATTTCCTCATTTAGTTCCTTCTGCTTCCCATAACACTGCTTTTGAATCAGAACAGTGCCTGGGAGTAGGATATGCCAGCTGGCTTTGCAATGTTTTGTACACACAAAATTCCTGCCTTCAAATGAGATTAACCTTTGAGGAATATTAATATACACACAGCACACAGCACAGTGAGGAGCAGCCACCAGCACACAGCACTGAGGAAATGGACAAATACAAGGTGTTCTTCATTCTGGTGTCTCAGAGATTGGTGTTAAAGTTTTCACTATGACAAAGGATTGTTTAAAAAAATACTGTATGGAGAGGCATGTAGGTAAGGTTTCACTGTGGAAGAACTGTCATACAGAATTAGATTGCCTCCTGCCACTGTCAAAGAATAAAAATGTGTCTTAAACTTCAAGGAAAAACACTGAAATCCCAGTGATTTGAAACCTCAGCAGTGTTTCAGGAGTAGGATGCCATGTCCTCTAAGTACTTGTCCTGGTAAGGCTGAGCTTCCTTTTCTTGCACAAAAATATATTTTTAATCTGATAATAATTTTCTTCTTGGTAAGTACAACCTATCTATTTTTTTTAAGAAACAGACAATAACGAAACAAATCCTCATTACCAAGCAGAACGACGGCACATTTACTTTTATGGTTTCTCTAGTATCTTCCACTTCCATCTCCTGGGGCAAATCCAGGCCGAGCTCAACAAGCCTCCCCTGTAGCCCAGGGAAGAGCACGTTGGGTCTTTATTGCCATCTAGCGACCGAACGGATTGCACTGGCACAGCGAACACGTTTGAGAGCTTTGAAACCAACGACTGCTGCTTCCCTCTCATCCTGAACTTTGTGCTACCCTGTTACCGCATGCCTTGCGGACCTTGGAGCTCAGGTTTGCAGACGTCTGGGCGCTGCTGCTTTCATACTTTCATACTCTGCAAATGAACAGGCCCCTCGCCCTCCCTCTGGGGCCCGGCAGTTTAGACAAAGGCCATTCTGTGAAACCGAAGAGCCCTGGCACTGAGTTTAGGAGCAGGGTCACCACGCTGGGCAGCACCTCCAGCACCACGGGGACATTTGCGGTGGTCGTAACAGCAATCTCCTCACCCTGGAAGAGGTGATCGTCAGACTGTTTGCAGGAGTTTTAAAGATCCTCAGAGAGGTGTTGTGTTTTGGAGGCTCTCTTGGTGGTGGGACAGAGTCCTGGTAACATGTACCCTTGCACACAGGGCACCAGAGCAGGCCAGGTGACTGCAGCTCCAGGCCACGGACACCTCTCGCTGCGCTCCGTACCCAGGTCGTGTTGTCCTTGCCCCAGCTGGGAGCCCGACGGTGTCAGTCCCCGCACGGTGCCCATGCCCGGCGTGTGCAGCCCCGAGCTGGGCGGGTTTGCCCGGGCCCCTCCCGGCTCTCCTCCCTCCCGAGCCGGTGCCGCTGCCACCGACAGCCACACGGTGACACTGCAGCACCGAGCGCCGAAACACCCCCGAGGGGCTCCATGGAGGAGAGGAAACACCTCCTTAACAGGCCGGGCCTTCTCACCGCTCCACGGGTAAGGGCTGTAAGGCTAAAGCCGGCCTTGTGCTCTAATGTAGGTTTGTGGCCCTTTTCAGACGCGGTCACTTTGGTCCCTGTCTTGCAGCGTGATTCCATGTGCTGTCACAATAACCTGTGACAGAGCAGGATGACAGTCTGCAGTGGTCCTGGGGTAACAGGGCTGGTTGGTGAGAGCACTGTCTCCTTCATGTTTAACTCCCACCATTTGGCTCTATCAGTTTCCACTTGTATTTCAGGAGACAAACGCCCTCAGTTATCCTGGGATGTGTCTGCCATTTCCAGAGATGAAGATGTTTGTGCTGCTCCTAGGTTCAGTGGTTCACTGAAGTGATGAAGAGCAGGATTTAATGTTTTCTAATTTCACTGGGCCATGCCTTGATAAACACCAAGTTCTCAGCTCTCAGTGAGCATGAGAAGAATTGGTGGCATTCAACATGACAAGGTATTCTGAAATTCCTTATTTCCTTCTCTCCCTCAGAAGATATATTTTAAAATAAGCTGCTCTCCTTGCAGAACCAGGTGGCAAAAGGACATTCCTAAGGCAAGCTTGCACAGGAATATTTGAAACACCACTTGTTGAGCCCCCATCACTTTCACAATTTTCTGGTGAAACCTTTAAATGCTTCTCTTGATAAGGAATAAAAAATCTGAGTCACTCTTTGTTCTTAATCCAGAGTAGCAAGTCTGCACTTTTATTTGCCGATAAAGCTATCATACTTCCACAGGGCCTTTTGCTAAAGTTGAGCTGAAGATTCGATCTGAAGACATGCCTCTGTTTTCCAGATTTAATCACGAATGCTGTAGAAAGAGTCTCCTGAAACCAAACAAAGCCCAGTTATGAGTGTTTTTAAAGTTTCAGGTTCACAGCCTTCCCATGTCATCACTCAGCTGAACAATATAAAACCCTTACAATGCAGTTCAAATAATTCATGTAATTACCATGTACTCACTTTTATTTCAAGATCAGAGTCCTGTAATTCAAAACTAGAGAAACTGCCTATTTCTCACATTGTTGCTTTCTCTCTTTAATTCACCAGGAAAGGAAAGTTTTACAAGGAGAAGTAATACATCATTTACTGAACCAAGCAGAAAAAGGACAGATTGAGAACAACGGCTTTCAGTTTCACTTAATTAAACTGGACCGAGAGGAAATGACTCTGCCAGGAACTGAAAACCAGAGAAGGATGTTCTGGTCTCTGCTTCAGTAGGGAAAGTACTGCACTGTTCAAAGTAGCTTAATTTGTGAGGCACAAGACATGTTGGTTTGAGTCAAGAGAGCAAAAACACACTGGCTCTGGAGCAATGCTTCCTTAGTGCAACCTCACAGAAACCCACTGCGTGTTGGAATCTTTGTGATACTCTGCATATTAGCTTGTATTAGATATACTCCTCTTGCAAAATGTTCCTGTTAACACAGTGTAGAATAATCCTGAATTATGAAATCTATTCTAAATTTCTAAAATTCTGCAATACCTTTTTCCCCATGGCTTGATTTTTGTTTCATCCTAGCATTTTGCAAAGTTGTCCAATGCAGACATTTGATCTAGAAAAATAAGTAACAGTCATATCAGAGGAAAAATTAACATTATATTCAACAAGCCATCATATTCAGTAGCGAGGCAACTGGGCCCCTTTGTTGGGATGGAAAATTATCTAGAGCTTAATCTCTGATGCGGCTGAGATACAGTCCTACTATTTGCTTAGCAGGAACAACATCAGCCCTCAGCAAATAAGGACAGTTGCTGAAGACTTTCCAGGATTTGAGCTTAAAATTAATGGCCTGAGTTGTCATTATTTTCCTAAAACTCAAGCACATTATAGATCTTGTTTGTGTAGATGTAAGCATAAATAGTCAATGGAATTAACAAATTCCATACTTTATGAACAGCGTGTACCTATAGCCAACATATCAAGAAGTTTTGGAATGCAGAGATGGGCACTAGGGTCCTGGGCAGTGTGAAGATAAGTAGTGACTGTGTAGGTACGGGCCTTTGCAGATAGGAGGCCAAGTCCAATGTGTCACTTCTCACCTCATGTTTCCGAAGGGTTGGAAGTGGCAGTAGAATGTCGCAATGGTCACAGGTCACCAGCATGTCAAAAGACTGAGTGTCTTTAAGAGCTTGAGGTGATGTGGAACATCCGCCTCTTGTGGGAGACAGAAAGCCAACCTTTTTGTTCTTTAAAGGTTTGGAGGTCAGTGGCTGCTCCCTTTCTTTCCCTTTGGGACGGACATCTTTCCATGCCATTGCATTTTCAGAGGAGGAAGAGGGAGCCAGGGAGGAAGAAGACCGTGGTGGAGCACTGATGAGGCTTGAAGCTGACTGGCCAGCAAGAACTTTTGTCAGCTTATGGGCTGCATTGCATTTATTCTGTTAAAAGAGAGTATGCCTGATGAGGTGAAGATTGGCATTGCACCCAACCCTGTGGCCATGCTGTGATTTGGGACAGAGGTGAGGCCTGGGGAGGGACCTTGGACAGCCCCTCCCAGTGATGCTTCAGTGCAATACACTGTATCATGACACTGTGTTTGAAAAGCCAAGACACACTGCCCTTTCTTAGCTAATATACAGCTTTTTGGAGAAATAACCTGGCTGGAAATTAAGCACAAACCATGCTCTTGCTCAGTTTCAAATATGCTTACCAGATGTTGGGAGTACTGGTCATCTGGGAACAACTTACTGCACTTCTGACAAAGATTGCCACCAGTACCTTCAGAAGGGAAAAAAAATTGAGAGAAACAAAGCATTGACCCTAGTTATCCAGACAGGCTGCTCAGATCCACTTAGAGTCTCTGGTTCTACAGAAACATAGAATGCTGATTCCACTGGCCAAGAAGAAATTTGAGCTATGACTTCATTTTGCTTTTGGCACAAACCTAATCCACCTTCCCTTCTCAATTTCAGGACATTTGAAATTCCATTCCAGTCCCATGTTTTGTGTCTCAAGATGCTTCACTCTTACCCTGGCCCAGCTAATTCTGTTGCCAGGAGGGTTTGCTCTCTATAGTTTATTTTGCCAACCACTGCACCTACTGATGCCTATTCTTTTCTGGAATAATTGACTGGATTTATTAATTTTTTGTCTTGACATACTCTGTCCAACACCTTAGGCCTAATAAAGCTGCTCTCAACTTCAAGAAATCAAGGTATGCATCCCTGGCTTTTGTGTACAAAGTGAAAGGAAGTTCTAAATCACATTTTCTCCTGTGCAACAAATAGAAAAATGAACAAGTTTCACTTATTTTCTGACAGAAGGAATTTCACTTCCAGAATATAAAAGAGGCATAAAAGAACATGGTCGATGAGCTACCTGTCAGTGGAACCACACTGGCTTTACAATACCAGCATAATAGAACATGTTGGCCCTTTCCCCATGGCTGGTTAAACAACAATCAGCTCCAGGCTGGATTACCAAGAACTGTAGAGAAGGCAGGAGAATTTTCATTGAGATTTAACAGCTGACCCAGTCCGTGACAATGAGGAATTTTGCTTACCAATGGGGCGAATAACTGTTGCATTAGTGGATGCTTCACCAGTTTGAAAGTCCACATCCTTATGATAGGACAGACCACTGTTTGGACAGATCTCCTTGTGTTTGTGCTGATCCTTATACATGATGTATTTGTTACACTCCTGACACCTCTCTGTTCGGCTGGCACAGGTATCCAGGTGTTCCTGTAGCTTGTTGAAGGGCATTTCAAGGTCACAGATGGTGCATTTCATGGCTCGTTTTTGGCACTCCTTGTTCTGTACATGAATAGACGAAATTATTGCAAATTTCCTATCAATACTGAAAGAGGGCATTGAGTGAGAGCAATGAGTGGTTGTTTAAAAACATTCTCCTTAAGGGTTATCTATAAAATCAAATGCAGGCATAGCTGCATTAGCAGTTCATCTGTCTAGGCTATCTTTATCTTAGGATGATTTAGGCAATATAAGGCAAAATGAGAATCAACAGCTGTGAAGATGTTCTGTGCCAGTACAGGTCAGCAACAGAGCACAAGGCCACCTAGAAAATTCCAATACTTCAGCTACCACTGCCATGGGAAGGCTGCTATGTTTTCACTGCTTTGGTTCCTTAAAATGGTTAGACTACAGCTAGCATGGACAGACTGCTCTCACTTCCAGCCTCTGCAAAGCGTTTTTGTGTATCTTCTCTCATTGACTCTCACCTTGTATAATCACTCACTCAGAGAAGCAGGCAATATGAGTGTGGGGGCAGGACAGAAATGTCTTTGAGGAGCTCGCAAAGAACATCAGATCGAGATATCAAGGATGAGAAAGTAATAGACTATCTCCTGGCACAGACTGTCCCATCACAACTGGATGGGCAACCACCATGGGCACCCACTTCATTACAAGGGGGAAAAGTATGCCAAAACACTGCAGCTCTTCAGAGATTTAAGTTTCTTCATGGTCCAGGACACGAGTCAGGGATTTACACGTTTTTGCTGTTGAACACATTAGAGTGACTGATCAAAAGGGTCAGCCTGGAAGTAAAAAGTACTGCACTCCGTACTTACCTCATGATACTCCAGCTGGTATTGCTGCATACTTTGGTGACAAAGTCTGCATCTGATCTGCAAGCAGAACATACAGAAGTTCACTTGGAGCACAGAAGGATGGTTGATGCTTTCATATATGAATAAGCTTCAAGCTCCTAAGATCTTCCTGTCATTTTCATCCCAATCATCAAACAGCTGTTGGTGAATTTTTGTTTCTCTGTCTGGCCTGAGCTGAGTTGATGAGATTTTGAGGAAAACAGGTGTCTGACGATTTTGCAAAAAACTGTCATTCTGTGTGAGGATCCAGTTCTCAAAGATACCCATATGAAACGCAAAGTGTGATGTGAAATAGCATGTATTTAAAATTTTGACTGAGTTTTAACTAAAAACTCGGGTATGATATTCCGCTAGTCTAAATTATAACAGCCACTCTGAAAACATTGGAGGTAGGCTGGTTTTCTAGAGGTTTGCCATGAGAGTTACTCGTGTTCTGTTAAGTAACTGAATTCAACGGAATTGCTAAAACAATGCAACCAGTAAGACAGAATAAAAAAGTCATGCCTGTGTATTCATGCTTCACCACAGTGCCTCTAGCTACAGAGTTCTTAATGCTACACTAAAAATGCTATTGCCTTCCTGTATGAAGAGCTGATAAATGCACTCTGCCAGTTCAGCTTTTGTTAAAAAGGTGAGTTGATGTCAAAGCTCTGTACAAGCAAGGTTCAATGTCAGATCAGGTACTGTCTTGTCTTCCTCTACTCAGATCATTTGCCCTGCCTGCTCAGGCTAATTCACAAGCACTAGGAGCACATAGGTATCTGTACCTCATCTGTAGTTTATACTGCTGAGGAAACTGAGATACCGCAATAGAAGCTTCATTCTCTTAAGCTAAGTGCGCAATAAGATCAAAAGATGTTGTAACCAAGCCTGAAGGGTCATAGCAGACCCTTACAAATTTTCTGGTCAAACAACTACAGAAATTTAAAGCTGGTTAATACAGAGCACAGTAATGTGAACATACTACTTCAGGGCTGGAAGGGCTCTTTGCTATTTGCAAGAAAACCCCAAAGAACATGTAGCATTCCTCACCTGTTTGTGTGCTTCTGTCTGATGGTCTTCCATATCCTTTTGAGCAACTGGTTCATCACATTCTGGACAGAGGGTAAGAAACCGCATGCAGTGGGCCTCATGGAGGGAGAAATTGGCAGCAGACACATCTCGTTTACTATCGAGCGTATATGGGAGAGAAGAGTAAATGAATTTTTTTCCTTTGTTACCAAATAAAATTGAGGCTAAGCTCATGCTTAACCCTTCTAAGTTTGACTTTTTTTTTTAATTGCAGTGCTTCATTGCCTTCATTCATATAATTTTCCCAATGGCCTTGCTACTGTTCAAGACACACCAAGCTATGCTACCCTCATGGCCCCTTTCAGCCTTCTATTCTATGAGAAATGGTCGACTACCCTGAAAAAAATGAACATTTTATCACTTAATTGCAAATATAGCAAGAGAAAGAACCATCAGTCATGGGGGGAAACTGAGGCAGCTGGTGGGTTTGCCATGGTTCATGTACTGACTCTTTTCTCTGCCAGATACTGCGAAATTGCCCACGAAGGTATTCTGTAAAAAGAGAATATACAGCAGAGGAGAGAACTGTGGAAGAAACATCTGCACAGCAAAGTAGCAAGAGTGCAGCATCCTGGAAACGTAAAAATGCATTCAAAATATTTTTGTTTCCTACTCAATAGCTAGTATACTCGTGCTGTGTGGTTCTTCCTCTGCTCTCCCTCTTACAGGAGACCTGGATAACACCAACGAAAATCCTAAAAACTCTTGAAAGCCCCCCTTTTGTAGGGGTGAAAGATCACTTACCAATTTTTGCAGAACCTGCTCTCTCCTGTCATTTTTCTTTTTATTTTACTGGATATCCTTTCTTCTAAGAGCAGAGAGGAATCTAGGAAGCGAAACTGAAAGGCTCTGTTGCAGTAACTCCACCCCAAACAGCTGTTTAGCCAAAAATTCTTTAAAGGAGAAACAGCAGTATTGCCAGGCAAGTATTGGTTATTGGTTTTCGGTGTGAATTCCACACAGATTAGTTCGATAGTCCTTAGAGAAACTCCGGGGTCTCAGTGTCCTTCTTTCCCACATAAGTTTGATTTACTGTAGCTTGTTCAGCAGCTGGCAGGGTTCCTGGGCCTGACCGGTCTGTGCCCTCAGCCCCTGCCCTCACAATCCGCCCGAGGAACCGAGGAGCCCGTGGCGCCCTGAGGAGGGGCCTGAGAGCTCCGTCCGGGCCGCGGGGCCGCAGCGCTGAGGGCAGGGGCACGAGGCGCTCCCTTCGCCTCTTGAGGGATGGTCACGGTAGTATCCGGCCCCACAGACCCACCTTGGCCTCCCTGGGACAATGCTGTCTCCCTCGGACAAAATCAGCCAGCTCGTGAGAGGAGGTGTTCGCCTTCCACCACAACGGGGGAGGAACCCAGTGCCGGCCGCCCCTCCCCGAGCCCGCGGCCGTGCCCCAGCAGGTCCCCAGGCCTCTCTGCTTCCCCAGTGACCCTTGGAGCACTTCAGGGCATCAAACTACGTGCCAGGTGAAATTTCCAACCTCTGTTTCCTTCCTGGGGATACTCTGCTGTGGTTGGGATGGACTGACAGCACCAGAGGCCGCAGGAGCAGCAGGTCCTGTCTCTTGCTGGACCTCAGCATTACATTTTTACATAGAAAATTTTAGAAGAAATATAAGTTAGAGAGAAAAATAAACAGAACTTCACGTTTTCAACGCCGGTACCAGTACCTTCAGGACTTTCTGATGGAAGGCCAAGCATTTGTGTACCTGCTGCTACAATAGATCCCTTCCAGCTGTATGATAAGCGTCGTCTCTGATGTGACAGACCCTGTCCAGTGTGGAAAAATGATATGCAGGAGATGCAGAAAATATGAACTTGTCTTTGAAATTGGGGCAATAATACTAATTATTCCACTTTGCAGAGGTATTGGAAAGAATAATTCACTAGTCTTTGCACAATGTATCAGATAGATATGCCGTAGACAACAGCTGTGACAAATGTTACTCAGAAATTAGTGTGGTTCATTTCCCATCTAAACAAGCCCCTTCTCTCCATCTTTCTCTGGAAAAAATGAAAAAGGGAGCGCAATAAACCATTATTAGATCTGGGAATAATGAGTGTTTATCTGGATTTTGTAACACAAATTATGTAATGAAGCAGAGAAAAGGCTTTTGAAAAAATATGTTAATGAGATGGCAGCTAAGGGAGAGGTTACAGAGCTGCCAATTTTGAATCAAATTTTAATGTGATTTTCTTCTGGATCTTTTTTTCTTTTGCCATCATTAGCCTGCAGAGCACTTGAATGTGGTTTAGGGCTTCATGCAAACTATGCAGGACCAATTCTAGGTCAAGAAAGCCTGATCAGCAACACACACTGACTGAGAAAACCCCACTGACTCAAAATTCATAATGAGAGCTTTTATGTAGAAAGTTGTTGGGCACAGGGATTGTGCTGAAAGGATTGTTCGTTCAGAGTCTCAAGAGCTTTTCTTGGAAAAATATCAGATGCTCCACTGGGAGCTTAGTTGAAAGCTACTCCTGAGCAGCGCAGTGGACTGCCAGTAGCTGGGAAAGCCTGACTGGAGGGAAAATGGAGAGCAACGAAACAGTGGTTTTCTCTGAATGCCAGCAATAACTCTATCCATTTAAATTCTGTGTAAACCTTCCAGTACATAATATTACTGTACAAGACCTCCTCCAGGCATCTTTTCAAGGCAAACATCACACGGAGGTAAGTTCTGAGCTGGTTATTTTTTAAATGATTTTCAAAAGCCTAAGGAGAAACACTTCTTTTTCTTTTAAGTCCTAGAATGTCTCAGGGCCAGTTGTTTTAATTTTTGTTTCTCAGCATCAAGTATGATATGTCTTACAGTCTTTGTTTAATTTAATTTTGTTAAAACTTCTGTACCTCTGAGTACATGAGCTTGCAACATGAAAGAACTTTAAAAAGAACGTGAGGAGAATTTTTATTGTGAGAAGGAGTAGCAGTTATCTAGGTCAAATGGACTGCTTTAGAACAAGCAAACTGTACTTGTATGCTTGGGCAGCATTTGAATTAGAGGCAGAAAATATGTCTATCTGTAATTAAATGAACCAGCTGCTGCCTGTAAAGCCTCCTTGGCAGCAATAACCAGAGTAACTGGGATAATTGGCTTGTAGTGAGTGTGATATATCAGAAAAGCAGCTTCTCAGGAATGAACTAAACTATAATAAAATCTTTATTTTCCAATTTTTCCACCTGGACTGATGACCCTGGAATTCCTACCTTCCAAGTGGAATTGATTTCTAGTCCCTTTCTAATAACCCAAAAAATGCAGGTCACCCTTTTTTAACTAGTCTTCAGCAGTGTCCCATTTCCAAGTAGAACTCAACAGTGGTTCATATCATTGACTCTGGTATCTGAAGTACAAAAGGGAAGATTGCAAGACTGTGTATGGTTTGACAATGCTGTCAAGTTCATCTAGGCATTTGCTGTCTTGAAAGGTGCAGCTGTTCCTGTGCCCAGCCATAAGTGGCCCATTCTCTCGAGCTGGCTCTGGTGCTCACTGAACACTTCACTGAACCTACTCACCTCACTAACAGCAGAAAAATGTTCTGCTTTCTTTGTCAAGTTAAATCGAATAAGCTCCAAAGCCCCCAGCTGAGAAATGGCAAGAAGGCCAGGGCAGGTTGGTGTCAGTGAGCCACAAGATGGTCTTGGCTCTGTTACTCTAACCCTTGGTTCTTGGCATGCTTCAAAATACCTGTGTTTATTAGGGCAGCAGAACAGCAAATGGGAGCAGTGGTGTCTAGCAACCAGGAAAAGGGATTTCAGGTACAAGAGACCTGATTCAGTTCCTGGTTCCAACTCGTGTTATCACCCATGCCTAAACCTCTTTGTAACACAAAGATTTGAGTTCCTTTGTAAACTGATTTGAAATTTACTACCAAGAAGAATGAGAGCAGCACATTGTTCAACACAAGGGTATCAAAATTTGGCCCAAAGGCTGCTACAATATTCTGCTTCTAAATGGTGTCTGCAATCAAAAGCTAATTTTACCCACTGCCTTTAAAGCAGTTGTCAAAGCCAGTGCTGTCTGCTATATTCAGAGCAGTACTGACTGGAGGAAAGGATCCCTTTCTCTTGAAAGCCTGAAGTTAGTGCTCAATTAGCATGAGCTGAATTTCAGGCTGTGGGAGGTTTTTATTTGAATGCTCTTTGGACCACCTAAAACTCCTCCTGGGTGTTTTGCGAGCACATAGGCTCTCTGCAGCTCCCTTCTGCCTGGCTGTCAGACCTGTCTGTAAAGCAAACAGCCAAAGCTTTGTCCATCTTCTTCTTGGCACAGTAAAGAGGAAGCTCATCGTCAAATTACATGAAAGAGCTGCCATTCCTGTAGCACGCTCATGTCCAGCCAGTGCCAAATGCAGCTCAGTTGTAAGCATATTTTGAGGGAAATGGGGAACAGCTGGGATACTTGCCAAATGGAACATGCTTCTCCATGCTTCTCTCTGCTGGTGCAGGCTGATCTCTTAGAGCCATGCCCAGTCTCAGCCTGTACTGTAAAGCCCTCTTTTACCCATCTTGATTATGCATTGCACAACTTTCCCATCTCTTTATCTGAATGTAGATGTCTTCTCTCTTGTTCTCACTCAGTATTCTTTTTCCTGCCTGTGTTGTTGCAGTTTGCCGTAATACATGATTGTGTGGTTCTAACATCTGGATTCAGTCAACTTCTCACTCTCCCGGTTCTTACAGTAGAACATGAATTGACACATGTAAACCTCCAGTGGTTTATAAAATATTGGTGGGTGTATCTTAAATATGAAGTGTGCAGTGGCAGGATGGCTTGAACAAGGTGGTATCAAGATCAGAATTTACCTTTCAGGTTTACGGGTTCAGTTCAGTGCAGGACCTTGTCTTTGCTGCTCTGCCTCAGCCAGCTGCTGTGATTGGTTTTAGCTGAATTCCTAGCAGACTTCCACAGGAATTGTAGTTGGCACTAATTTGACTTCTTCTCATCCGTCAGCACTGTTGTTGTTCATGAAGAAATATTCCACATGCACTCCAACAAACCAACCTGCTCTCCTCCTGAAGCAAACCTCTAGAAAAGGAGCCTACTTTACCAAAGAAATAAAGAAGTAAAAGTTGCTCATTTCCATGTACCCACTTGAGATTTCTCCCCACTACTGCTTTAATCAAATGCCTTGAATTTAGAGTTTCTAAAGGCAGCTCATCAGTGCTGGTCTTCATTCATGGAAAGATTACAATTGCTTAGTTTAGGACCTGGATCTCAGATAAAAAATGCTCAAATAAAGAAAATCTAAGCATGCTGTCTTTCAAATCTGAACTCAGTGTTTTTCCTAGATCTCTCTCTCTTTCAACTGGTATTAACCACGCACCTCTGCCAGAAGCATTGGGAAGTGGGTATTTATCTCTAAGGGCCAACTGCTTACTGGTCTTGATTGACACCTCCCTGTTTTCCTTCTTGCTCCTTCCTTTCTGGTCTATAATCTCTTGAGAGGCCTGCACCATCTTCTCATCCCTGTCCTAAGTCAGCTGATCATAAGAAACCCAGGGACCAATGCCTCTCCCTTCATCCCAAAAGTACACCCTTTGCTGGTGTGGTGCTCCATGAGCATCAGCAGGGGGTACCCATTACCTTTCAGTGTGATTCTCTGTTATTCAGATGCTGGTTCTTTTCTGTGAGTCTTTTTCTGATTTGTTCCATATTATTGGAAGTACTTTGCCTGGCACACTGAAGGCAAGTTTGCAATAATTCTGCGCAATAAGATATTTATTCCCTTTTCTGTATTTGACAAAAAAGGACTGAGGCATGAATTAGCTGATTGAACTGCCCACAGGAGTCCTTGGTCTCATCCCGAGGTACAGCAAGCAAGTCTCTTTTCACAGGATTATTCTATCTAAAGGTATCAAGACATTTGTTGCCTTTCTTTTCTTTTTTTTTTTTGCACTGCATCGTATGGAAACAAGAAGACAACAAATCATGTTTGCACTGGTCTATCAGAGTGAACCCTAGTACAACTCCTTTAGAGCTAACTATTTGCATTTTCTTATGTAAGTGTTTGTAGTCCTTTTTCTTTTTTGACTAGGAACCATTTTTTCATTGGAGATTGGCCACAGGAATGCAAGTTTTGGCTGATTCCCCACTTTCTGCTAGACTTTGCACTAGTGTGAAGTTTCCTCTGTGTTGGTAAGTTACCCAAAGGGACTGCTGCAAAAGGTTTGAAGATTTGGAATCTGTCCAGATCCGGTTGGCTACTGTTTTCCTTAGTGGGCATTCACTGCTTTTATAAATGAACAGTAACATTGGAGTGTCTTGTTTTGAACTTCTGTCACTCAAGTTCCTCTGGTCAGCAGAGGACAAATAGTGCAAGCTGTAGTCAGAGCTCCCTCATTACTTGCTGTGGAATCTGAAATTCTTTATTTCAGTGATAACTGCTTGGTAAGACTGTATGAA